AAGGTATAACTTGTGCTATAACCTCTGCCTTAAGCAAAACGTTGTTAGATAAAAAGCATTTTAGGAACTTCGATGGCTTAGTCAAATTGGTGGAGTAGATAGGTAAAATTAGGGCTACATATTGTAAGACAACATAAGAAATTAAAAGCAATTTTTCTTTCTTCAAGAAAAAAGCTAAAGGAAATTATTACTCTTTTTCAAAATCATACAACTAAATGGATTCTTCCGAGATGAAATATTATTTGTTGTGAAATATATCTTCAGATATACACAAGGTTGATTTCTTCTTTGTTTTGTCAAATAAATATAGAAACAATTATATAGTAAAGCAATTGAATGAATGAACATGTATCGATTATCATTTGACTTTCCTCTCTCAAGAAATATGTAGCTATTTTAGATTATGGACATTGTATTTAGTTGTACTATTAAAAAATTTATGTAATGTTAAAGATATTGTATTCTTTCGCGATTAACTTGAAGATTTTATGTTGGAATGTTTTACCAAGTGTATAAATGATTGTTCAAATATATAGTTAATTGTTTATATAATGTGTTGATAATTTCTTCGTATGATGTGAATGTTACCCTTAATCTATGTAAACCAATTACTTTTTTAAATTTGATAAACATTAGACAAATACTATTTTTTAAAAAATAAAACGTTGTGTTTGGTCTAAGAATGACAATTGCTACATTTATAAAGACAAAAACGTCATGGTTCAATTACATAATTTGAACAATAATATATGATCCACAAAAAGTAAGGAAAAAATTTAGATTTATATAAACATTATATGTTGAATTTACATAAATATACATAAAATATACATAAATAATATATAATACAATGAAGAGTCCTTGTCTTTACTATATAACTTTGGATATATAATCACACCATTTATTTCACATCTCATTAATTTTCTCATTGTGAAATGTTCCATTCCTCTGCAAATTAATTAATTAAGCGAGAATATGAAATCAAGATGCAATTCATAATAATCTATATACTAACAATGTATCTTTAATTAAATTTTTTAACCTTATTTGGTATACTAATAATATCATTTTTTATTATTTCTTTTAGGAAACGTAAAACATAATACCCATATTTCTAAGTTTCTAGTTAATGAGAAACTTGCAAATGATTATTGGGTTGCCAAGTATTTTTCACATCGGTGTTAACAATTGATAAAATAAAATAAACATGTATATCGTAAATGTAACCCACATTATTTTTTATTATGGATAGTTAATGCCCTAAACCAACAACTTAATATCCATACAAAACGTACATGGTTCCACCATAAATATAATAGAACTAATTTTACTTAACAAAAGATAGGTATTTTTTTATTATATATTAAATTCTTGTGATGGTTTAGGGTTACCTTTCACTAAGTTGAAAAAATACACTGTATGATTTATGAAGTCAATTACATCCAACTACCAATGACCCTTCTATAAATTAATTAAGTATGGATTAAAATGTTGAAATGTTAGGCTTTTAACTATTTTCAAATTCATATGAAACAATGTAAAGTAATTAAGTACCATTTGTTCATATATTATGATATATTATGAAAACATACACAAGATCATAAGGTGCAAAAAAATATTAAGACTTTCTTCCCATTACAAATACCAAAGCAATGTAATGTTAAAAAATATGTGATTTTGGTCAATAAAACTATAGGTAGTAGTCAACTACCACTTCTTGATATGGTTGTAAAGGAGGCTGCAATGAAAGTAAAAATAAATTATAATATAAGTTTATACCATATATGAAAGAATACATATTATATATTATAATAAATATATAAGATAATCTTATGTACACTATGATTTTTGTAATTGATATTTCCATCATTATACAAAATCTTATAATTTTTTCCTACCCAATCCATGAACTGTTGCATAACGAAATAATCATTTTTCAATTACCAAGTTAATTAGTCCTGTGCTAACTAATTGATATTTCACATAATGGGTAAGCGCATGCATACTATTGGAAGGTAAAACTTGACTATTATCAGACTTTAAAACCTATTACATATAAAATTCAAATGTATTTACATCAAATCAAATCACAAAGACATTATAATCCAAAACATTGACTTGAAGATTTAAATGTTTCAATTACTTAAGTCAAAAAATGTATTACCTAAGGTATTTGGTCAAAAACTTCATTCACAACTACATTTTCCATATTCTCAATAATTGACTGACTCACTTTATTAATTATCAAAGTTGCCAATTATGCTTCCAATTCAGCAATGAATAAATTTTGCTAAGCTATTATAGTCGTCAAGTCAGCAATCTTTGATATGCAGGATTTAGGTTTTGTTTTAAAGTATGTTATTGGATAAACAACACTTCCAACACTTCTAGCAGGACCAAGTTTCTCTTTACTACTAAAAGTCAATGTTAACATATCAACTTTCACTAATTGAGCATCTCATAGAAAATTTGTCTTAGAACACAAAATATTTGTGTAAATCAATAAAATATGTAAACATGAACATCATTGAAGTAACACATGAGATATATTTGACTTTCTCATCTTTTCACCATTAATTCAGTTGCTTCATCATTATATTGATCACATTTTTATGCATGTGCTTTTTTTTAAATATCCTATCTTGTTATTTTGGTGCTTGATCTAGATATTTACTACTAGCATATGAAAGTATAAGTTATCTTTGTAATGTAAATAAAGTTCAAATAAATTGAACCAAGAATATAATATACAATAAAAAAAACTTACAAGTTTATATTTCACATTTGCATAACCCTTTTTTGATGTCTATAATTATACTTTTTTTACTCTTATTTTCTTTTGCGCTTCTTTTATTTTCTGCAACAAAATAGAATAAGAATTATTGCACATCAGAAACTTATGAAAGTAACAAATTTCATAACAATCGCTCTTCAATAATTGTTTACACTTAAAAAAAATTGTTATACATACATTGAATTCATTTGACAACTAAATTGAAACAAAATTTGTCCATTCTACATCACTAATTGTTTTGAATAAATGATTGAGGATAAGCCAAAAGTTCATAGTTGTCAACATTAGGTAATATATATTTCTAAGTTAATTTAACTTGTTTTTGAAGTCTTTAAATTTTAGATCAGTAGATTATAATATAAACTTTTTATATACTACAAGTATGTCAAAGCACACGTAAAATGACTAAAACGTTGTGCTTGTCCAATATTTAATTGTTTATAATGATCAAAACATCTTAATTGTCAAATATTACGATTTATTTAATTAAACGTTGTATACTATATAAAAACAACGATTCTTAGTTAAGAAACGTAGTTTTTATATCAAACAGCAACATTGGTTTTTTTTTTTTACTCTCATATCTATTAATTTAAATTAATCTATTTAATAAAATAACTTTTCTTACTTAATAAACGTTGCTTTATCTGGTCTTTATTTTTTTTTTTTTTATTCATAAAATATGCCATTTATTAATGAAAAAATGAAAACCAATTAATAATTTTTGTTTAAGAAATAAATTAATAAAAAATAAAAATATTAAGAATATGTAACAACATATATGATAAATTAACAATTATAATTAAATAAAATTTTTCTATATCATAATATTTGTCATTACTATTCCCATGTAATGAAATATATTATAATAAAAAAATTTTATCATATAATTAGACATTTTAAAAACTAAAAACAAAATTGTATTATTTTTCTCATAAAAGAATCACTCAATTTTCAAAATCAACACTTTTTTCTGAGATCATTTCTCTTACAAGAATCATAAATTTCACAAACTAAATACCCCTAAAATGAAAAAGATAATATAAAAGTTTAGATGACGGTGGGAGGGTGGTTAGAGAAATCCAACGGGCCAACGAAAGAGTTTAAGCTGTTCTACAAATTGGAACAAGGTACATGTAATGTTCGAAGGTGGGACAACCTCAGTCCAGACTCTAGAAACTAGTGTTTGGTTGCATGTTATTGATATATTGCTAATCCTGAAAAAGTTTGGTGAAGGGAAAGCGAAGAATGCCTATCAGGTGGGCTCATGTTGGGCAGTAGGGGCTTTGATGATGATATCGATCCTATTCGTGGGTGGAGTCTCACGGGCTTGTTAATATTCTTTGAGATTCTTGTTATGATTGAAAATGCTGTCCCTCTCTGTATGTGCACGTAGCAAAGAGAAAGCACCGACGCCGCTGCAATTGATAGGTATGACGGGTAGAATTTTTTTACTTATTTTTAAATTTTTATATTAGATTTATTTTTTTTATTTTATCTTGCACATTTTATATAATTTTTTTATAAATATATATTAATATATATTTTTAAAATATAAATTTTAATAATTTTAATCATAATTTATATTATTTAATAAAAATTTATTATATATATATATGTAAAATTTAAGCATCAACATGAGACAGATATTATATTACTCAATTTTGTATCCATAATTAATATAAATTTAAAATCATATCATTCTACTTGTCATCCTCATAATCTAATACTCGTTCATCTTTATGAAGAAAAAATCAAAATCTTCATTGAATATAACTAAAATTGACATCCTAACCTTTAATATCATTTGTGCTCAAAATCAATGCATGTCAAATAATAAAGCACAAGTTATATATTTTTTTTAAGAGTCACTAATAGTCCTTATACTATAATAAAATATTTAATATAATACTTAATTTAAAAATTTTTTAATATGATATGATAAATAAATTTTTTTAAATATCGTATTAGCTAATAAATATATAATTTAATTATTTTATTAAAAATATTTAAAATTATATTATCATATTAAATATTTGATTATAATTTTAAAATTATTTGTGATATATATTTTTTAAATAGTTGAAAAAAATTACAAAATTATCAGTCAAATTATTTCCGTCTCGGCTGCCCAAAGAATTAAATAAACAAACAACCGTTAGGATCTATTTTCAAAACCAAATCCGCAGATTGTGCGATAAAGAAAATAGAAGGAACCGGTCGCCTCTTGCCCAAGAAAAAGAATCATGGCCGTATTGCCTTTTTGAGCTACGACTTGACGACAAGGCTGTACCAGACAATTACCTGCCCCTTTAATTTTCTGTTTCTATTCTCGAGCCGATCAGTTAGGGAGTGTAATACCTTGTCCCTTTCTTCTCCTCCATTTTTTTTTTCCACCTATTGACAGGATATGGGCCATCAGGGTATAAAGTATCCGAAATTTCGGGCCACCAGTAACGGTCAGCCCTAAGCCCATGGCAATAATGTTTTCAATTTTAAGACAGACAATATAATTACGATTATGATAATTAGTTTGTTAAAGAGTTCTCTTAAAATCAAGAAAATATTCAAAAATCCCAGGCGCCTAAACACATAAGAAGACATCAGCTGAAGCGTCCCTCTTTGCTCTATGAGCTTTCTCTGTTTTTCCTCTTTATCCCACAACGAAACAACTAAGCGAAGAAAAGTAAGACAGTCTCCGCAGTGGGTTTGATAAAGAAAAGATACTACATCAATAATAAGCCATACTTAGGAAGGTCGAAAGTTTTCTACTTGCTTTCCGTAGAACTGGAATATGAAGTAAAACCTAGACCTGGGTTCTACAGGTATGTCATCTTTTACAGTTCAGCAAGCTTTGTCAGATGATATCTTCAATTGAACCATCCCCTTCTGACAGCTGTTTACAGGCTCCTCATCTTCATCTGATGAGTTTTTTCAATACTTCTTCAGCCCTATGCTCAAATTTAGGGAGTGCCCATTCATGTTGGATAATGTCAAGACCGTCTTTCTCAGCACTCAGGCTCTGACAATAATGAAAATCAAAGGATAAGGAGGCATGCAAGGTTAAGAAATGAAACTAGCCAACCCACAAAAGAGCCTTTAACTTGCAGAAGTTAAGAAATAAACAAAGTTATTTTTATTTGAAATTTCTTTTCAAGATGCTTACGAATTTAAACCATATATCAGCCAAATAAAAAAAACAATGCCTTCCATGATACTACCACTATCACCAAAACCAAATTTTGGTTGATCTTCACTGAACTAAAAGTTGCATGCAATTCTTATCATTTTTTGATTGATTTGGCCCCATTTTAAAGCAAAAGGGAATGAGGACTATGTGACGGTGACGAAAAGCATCTGCTGAAATTCCTATCCCAAGGATTCTTAACAGGTAAATATCACACCCCAAAAGCATGGGAGGTTTCTAAAGTTATGGAGAAAAACTAAGCCTTTGCCTAAAATGTCCTTTACTCATAATAATGCCTCAAAAAGAAAGACAAATATAAATTTTCTATCGAGTAGAACTTAGATATGATGAAGAGCCCCCACATACACATCAGTTCTAATCTATTTGACTCTGGCAGCCCAAGCTGCACATACATTAAAACAACAAAAGATTGTGGTAGCACAATAGTGGGTAGTGGCGCTGATGGTAGCAGTCTCAGGTCCATCAAAATGAGAATGAATGCCCACTTCCTCATCTGAACAATTTTCTAATGGACAAGCTAGTATTGCCGTCAACTTCAAATCATAAACAAACAACTCGCCAGCCCATGGCAACAGCAATCATTTTTCCCCTGGCTAAAGGGCTTAACAGCCATGTGTCTCCTACATTTTAGGATGACAATAATACGTGTTATCCACAAGGCATTCTACTAAGTGATCTAAATAAATAACTCCTTGTCAATAAAAAAAAGGAAAACATCTTCGCACCTCCATGATCTTGTGGCAAAAGGAGGCTATACAAGTTATATGCTCAAGAAATGAGTCACATCAACAAAAGGAATAGGGGACAAGTAGAAGATTTTGTCATAAATTTATAAAGGCGGCAACCACTTGTTGCCTGTAGGACCAACTAAATTCTAACCACAACAATTCTCTGGAAAGCAAACTGCTCAAGTTCTAAGGCTGCAGCCTAAGTTCTATATTGCCTATTCAATACCATTTAGGTTGTCATCCTAAGCTTATCTGTTGAGAGAAACCAAAGAAATCTACTTGAGTTATTGCAAAAAGATTTCAATTAGCATAATAACAAAGTGTTAACAACACAATTCTCAAATGAAATAAATTAAGCTAATTTGCTTCCTACACATGCTACATAAAGAACAAGCTGATGACGAATATAAGACCATGCGAAATTATATTAGACATCTGAAACTTGCAAGACTTCTTGAGCCAGAAAAGCTCAATGGAGAACATATTGAATCAATACCTTTGCTGGATCAAAGCCAAATCCACTCATCTGCATCATACGCTGTGTATCGTCCATTGCTGCCAAAAATATCACAATTTACATGATGAAACTCTACAAATAGATGATAAATCCAAGATCTGGAAGTGAAGATCGCAATCTAATATAAAATATAATAGGAAGTTCATGATCCAATACTAACCATTTTCCTCTCCTAGAATCAAACTAAATAAACCCCTCAAACCAAACAAATTGAGGAAATACCTGGAAATAAAAAAATTGTCAATAATGAGCTATCAAAAATAGAAGAGCTCAGAGAGAGAGAGAGAGAGGGAGAAAAAAAAACAACTAAAAGATCATATATGAAAAGCTTTGCATACAAAATTAGACCAGTACCATGAGCGGCTACTGACATAGCTCACATCAACTGTGCTAAGATCAATTCCATTCTGCAACATTGATCTGAACCTCTGAGTCAATGGGAAGGGTATTTTGGCTGCAAGAGAGAAAGAAAGAAAGCGATATAGAAGAGGCAGTCACATTACCATTTACCATTAGTTCAATAATATCAACAAATAAAAATCCTAATAACACTGACATGATCACTTAAGTTAGAATTGTGTCCATCACCATGTCATAAAGAATGAAAAAAAAAAAAGATCCAATCTAATCAGTAACACGAAATGGTTAACCTTGGCAAATTCATAACATCAGATGAATGAAATCAATTTTATAAATAAATTTGCAAGTTCAATCTCAAATGTAGCATTAAAAGGGAAATACTCAGAAACCTTGGAAGTAAAACAGTAGTAAAGAATCAAACCTGCAACAAATCCAGAGAAGAAAAAGTTGACCCATGCGAAAGTGAGAGTCTGACAGCAACAACAAGTTTACAGAAAACACTCAGTTCTCTAACATAACCAATTACATAAAAGCATATGAACACTAAAGGTCCACGCACCATAAAAATACCTGAGGTATAATCATAGAGAGGTTTTTCTTCATCATGTCCATAGCCATGTTAGGGTCAGAGAACATTTGCGCTTGCGCATTTTGAGCTTGGCCCTTGGGGACAAACAGTAACCCATTTTCCTACAAAGTGCAATAAACTAACCTTTAATTTCTCCTTTTTGTGACACATAGATACGTAAATGGATTATTTTCATCTTTAACCGGATTTTTAACACTCCACTACACTTAATATACACCTAAATGGATTATTTTCATCAATTTAACCTGATTTTAACACTCCATTAAGTTTAATGGTAGCTGCAGTATGCAGCGTCTTGATTGGTTGCAATTTAATTCCAAAAAAAAAAAAAAAAAAACTAAATTGACCGAAGCCTGATTACAAACGCGTGATTATTTATAATTAATGCACAATCGGCTAACAGTACAACAAGGCTTAAAACAACAAAATTCGAAAAAAAAAAAACAATTAATATTATAAAATTTTGGTAATAAAAGTTTTAAAAGAAGAAGAAAAGGCAAACCTCATTGCTGAAATAAACCCTACGAGAGCGAAAGGATTTGGGAGGGATAAAATTAGCACCAGCTCGCAAATTCCGAGCCCTAACAATTACTTGCCTGAAAATAGAAATTCAAAAATCGGAGAATCTGAGACCTATTTATATTTATCGGAATAAAAAAAATAAAGTTGTGAGAGGCGTGCCCTTCTTTAACTATCTTAGGGTCGGGAACTTGAGAGGAGCGCATGAGCTTAGAGACAAAGTAGCGAAGGATGCCGATAAGGACCATCACCACCGATAGAGGTATCAGCACCCAATCTCTGATCGCCGTGTCAAGTACCAGATCTTCCGCCATCGCTGATCGTATTCTGATCTTGGTGCCTACAAGAAAAACAAGACTTACGGCTTCTGTTTTCTGATCCCTACTTTTTTCAGTGTCGTATCGCTTGTGTGTTTTTTGTCGTTTTGATTTGCCCCTACCCTCGATGGACGCTATTTATTTATTTATTTTTATGTCCCTCATTCACTGATTTACCGGCATAATTACTTTAATATGAGATTCTGCCCAAATGTTTAGAAAATACATGATTTGCCCCCACAACATTTAACTCTTTCTCCAAACTGTCCTCTTACGAATTTTACTACCGAGAATACATAATCCATAATATTAATTTTACCCTTTCCAAAGTAATTTGATCATTTTTCAGATTATCCACGTTAGAGGTGTAAACGAGCCGAGCCGAGCCGAATAGTGAGAAGGTCGAGCTCGAGCTCGACTCACAACTCGAGACTCGATACTCGATTCGAGCTCGATCGATTTTTATTTTTCAAGTTCGAGCTCGATTCGTGATTGAATTCGAGCTACTCGAACTCGCTCGATTAAGCTCGATTAATATGTAAAAATAAGCTCGATTCGTATATTCGACAAGAGTTTAATTATTCATGCTCGAATTCAAACTCGAACTCGGACTCGAAATATTTTATTAATTAAAATAATAAAAATATATTTAAATATAAAAGCTCAATTAAGCTCGCGAGCTACTCGAGTCAGATATAAGAATACTCGAATTCGGCTCGATCGATAAGTCGAGCTACTCGAACTCGAGCTCGACTCGACAATAATCAAATCGAATTCGAATTTTTTTCGAATCGAACCCGAATAACTTGCGAGTACTAATGTATCATTTACACCCCTAATCCGCGTGTCAACGTTTTTCATTTCATTAATCTTTTCAAAATAAAGGAGGACGAAGTCAAACATTCTTTTCAAAAAAAATTACAAAATAAGATATTAAAATAAAACAATTGATTAATGGATTCTAAAACAAAAAATAATAAATAAAAATGATATTTTTAATTAAAAAGATAATTACTTTTTTGCTTTTTTTAATTAATAAAAAAATTTACTTTACCCTAATTAAGTAAAGTAATAAAAATATGTCATTTTTATTAATAAAATATATTTACTTTTTTACCCTAATTATTAAAAGAAAATATTTTCTTTTAATTTATTAATAAACATAAAATTTTCAACTTTCATCAATTTGTAATTATCAACTAATTGCACATGTTTTTTTCTTCATTTTTATATTACAAAATTTCTTTCAACTAATTATTTCTTATTATTGCACAAAAGATAATAAATATTTTTTATATTAATTTTTTACTAATTTGGGTTAATATTTTTATATTTATTAATTAATAAACATAAAATTTTTATTTTTATGAATTTGTAATCATCAATTAATTATACATATTTATTGATTAGCTTTTTATATTAATTTTTAAATTAATTATTTTATTATAATAAAAAGACAATAAATTTTCTTAAATTAAAAGTTTTAATAATTATTTTTTTATCATCAATCAAAATAATAAATATTTATTTTACATCACTCTAATTTGTGATTTGTCCTTTTATTTCCCTATACCCACATGATTGTCTATGTTTTCACTTTACCCAACGTCTTTTGATTCAATAGAAAGAGAAAAAATGGACAGAGGAAGATGAGCAGGGGCTTTTACTACTTTTTTCTTTCCCTATTTTCTGATCTTATGATTTTCTTTTCTTTTCTTTTCTTTTTCATTCTTTACTTTTTTATGAAAACAAAAAAGTAATTTAGAAACCCTTCATAAAGTATAGGCAATTTGCAAAGCCATGAATTTTTTTTGTTCAATTTTCTTTTTTTAGCTTTTTAAAATTTTAACAATAAGATTTTCAAATGAGATTTTTAATTTTTTAAAAAATATTTGTTGAGTATTTTGCTTGATCTCAACTTAAAGTTTTCATTTTTTTTATAATTTTTTTCTTTCAAACTCAATTTTTTATACTCCTTAAACACTCAATTTTTTAAGGTTTGGACTCCAATCAAAGTTTGGATTTGTGGGTTTTTTATGTTGCTCTTTTAAACTTTTTCTTTTGTCTTTTACCAAGGATTCTGTGGCTTTATTGATAGTCACATGATTTATTGGTTTTTTAATCACTGAAAATAGACTGAAACCAAAAGGAAAAAAGAAGAGAAGAAGAAAGGAAGGAAAAATAAAATAAAAAAAAATCATTTTTTTCGCATTTTTTGTTAGTCTTATTTATATGTATACTTCTTTTAACTTTTAATTTTTTATTTTTTAGGAAAATTTTAGTTGAGACAAAAAAATTGAGGATATAAAATGTTGACTATGGAATTAGAGTATAGAAAGGTTTTTACATGTATGATGGTGGATCCAAATTTTTTCTTGATTTGGATATTAAAAGGTATATCAATAAGGCCAGAAGTTGGTGTTCATTAAAATGCTTTGGAATTTATATGTTGCTAAATATTTTACTTCAGTTTCTTTATGGTGAATTTGTTTTATATGTCTATTAAATTTGATCATTCATTTTTCAAAACTAAAATAGTTATCATACATTGATTTATATGCTAATAAATGAGAAACACTCTTATGGTAAAGATTAAATTCATCATTACATTAGAACATTGTCATAACAGTTTTGAAAACTGTAAAATGAAAATTTTAAAAATAGTTAAAAAAAAAAAGAGTTACCATCAATTTTTTTTGTTAGGTGTGATTGACCACATAAAAAATTTATCTTTTTGATAAAAATAAAAATAAATATAAAGTTTTATCAAAAGATGTTTTGGTCTATGAAAACAAAGTTGAGTTTCGAAGTACGTTTATGTGTAGGAAAGAATTAACACCTTCATAGCGACCATTTAAAAATGGTACCAATTAATCATATGTTATCTTTGATTTTGGATAAAAATGGTTTTCATTTGAAATTCAATGATAATTCCCTTCACTTTTTTTTTTAAATTAAATCAATTTTATTCAAAGTCTTTATTTAGAATATTGAGAAAATCTTTACGTTAAAGAATTATTTTAAAATTTTTTAACATCTAGGTAGAATTTAAAAACAACCCTTTTCGCCTAAGATTCACCACTACATTCTTTTTAAAATGAAAATAACATTTTTGATATATGATAATTGTTGGTGAATCTCTAATATCTAGGCAGAGCACCAAAAATTATTTCTCTTAGAATGTTATTTTAGTTTTATTTCAAAATCTTTTTTTTTTGAAATAACATTTTTCATAAAAAAGATATTTATGTAGGAAAATGGTGTAATAATTAAATAACAAATAATAAACAAGCAAAACAAATACAAGCAAAAATTCTAAAATGAGAATATGCAAATAGGTATCAAGTATGTTAATGAGATGTAATTTTTAAATCAAGTCCTCAAATATAAAGAGACCGCCCGAACTCTCAACTTCTAGACAAAGTTTAAGTGTGATCATTTATATTTAAGATTTCATTTTTATTTTCTATTCTTTTGTTTAATCTTATTATTATTGGATTAACGAATTGTACAAAAAGCTTGATGAAACACAATTTCCTAAGTACCTTATCCTCTAGACGGCATTTGAAAACAAATTACTTGATATGAGATTTTCATGAGAATTCTTAGAATTTTAAAATGGTTTTGGTTGTAGGTATAGGTTATGGTTTTTAGGATTTGAATAGTTTCAGGGTCTCGATAATTTATGGTTGTAGGTTGATTTTAGAGCTTGGGTTAAACTTATGGCATGGTGAGTTTTTAGGATTTAAGGTTTGTTTTAGGGTTTAGGATTTTAGAATTCTAGGATTTAGGGTTTTAGGGTTTCATGGTTTTAAGGCTTTATGGTTTTAGGCTTTCAAGATTTTAGGGTTTAGGGATTTTAAGATTTTAGGGTATTTTATTAGAAAAATGGAAATTGTTGACATTTTGAACTTCTCAATCATCCTTAATTTTTAGGCGGATTTTTGAAATAAATTCAGTTTTCATGATTCCCATTTTTCCTTAAAAGTTCTAGTTTTAATGCAATAAGGGATACACAAATGATGTAAATACAAATTAAAAGATGCAAAATGACAATTCAATTCATCATATACGTATTTAATCTTGTTTATTTTTATTTTTTGTTATTATCTCCTTTTTTAAAAGAAAATTAAGGATGGAAGAAATTTTATTTTGAATTCATTTTATGAAAGAAAATTTCCTTTAATTCCCTAACATCTACCCAAAATTTGAGAAAATTAATTCTTCAAAATGTAATTTGAATTCCTTTGACATCTAGGCAGGGTTTCAAAAAATCATTTAGTTTTTTATATCATCTTATTTTTTATTTCTAAAAAATTTAAGTGATTTTCATACTCATCAATACCTTAAAAAAGAAATAAAAATGCATGCAATAAAATGACAACATAGGCCTAAAGCTACATAAAAAAAACCTTAGTTGGACATTAGATTGAAGCGCAAAAAAGTCAAGTGGCCTAACTAAAACAAGATCTGAATCAGACTAGGATCGAACTGCGTTGGGTCAAAATAGGTAGCAGGTTAAGTCTAGATCAACATGTTGCATTTCTTTCTTCTCCTTACATGGTGTGTTTTACATCATTACATATAACCATTTTTTGGCATATTTTAGTCCTTTTTAGAAAAAAAAAAAAACTAATCTCTCAAAAGTCTCTCTCTCCCTCTTTAAACAAAAGCAATACCAATCTTTATAATCCTAGAATCCGATCATCGGCACCACTGTCGACTACTAGTCAATATCCTTTCAAGCCTAAATTTCACCTAGAGCCCCATTTTCACCTTCTCTTCATAAATCTAGTTTTAGTTACACCTAGAAACCCTCTAAATTTCCTTAAATCCAAGACAAAAGTCATTGGTTCACCTTTTTAAAACATCATATTTCGTCATTTCTTTCAACTCCATTTTAAACTATGTTTTTCATCTAATTTTAGACCCCTTATTCATCAAACTTTGGGCCCTGAATCTTCTCCAAATACTCCAAATTGAAAACCCCAGAGGATTTGACTTCTCTTTTTTTCATTATTTTTTTATGTGGTTTTTTTCTTGTTGCTTCAAAAAGATTGTGGCTTGATTTTTTTTTTTGCTAATAGATTGTTAGGATTTTTTTTATGTCTTTGGTGTTTAATTATGGTCTTTTCTATGGGTGATA